ATTCAATATTATTCTTCACATTTCACCAAACTAATTATGCATTTTAATTAATCTTTAACAAAACAATTTTGGCTTACTATTTAAGCATTCTTTTACACAAATTAGGTAGAAAACCCACACATTTTAACCATATATATCCATGCATTTGAACATAGTTTCTCCCTCTCTTCAACCATGCAGCGACAACTTTAACACACCCATATTAACACCTAAACAGAAAAGATTTAAACAACATTCAAGTGAGCTTACCGATAGCCCGTCAAATCAAAAGTCTCATTCCCCGCAGTGGATGTGTGCTGCTCATTCCGTCATGTCAGTCCCTTTCCACCAGCCAAATGACTGCGTTATATGCTCCCGCTGATTGAAGTGTGTGCGAGCTTCTGATTGCTCAATCTAATTCACCTGGTCGAGGGTGCGCCAGGGCGCGCACGCACGGTCACACGCGGCTGCCGATGCAGAGCGGGGCGGCACGCAGGTGAGACGGCATGCAGGAGGAGGCGGGCACACGGGAGACAGGCGCACCTCTGCCAGATCAGCGCGACACCTCCCACTCGATCTTTACGTGGCGGCGCCCGGAAAGATCGTACTCTCAGGTGGGCTGGTCTCTGACTTGATCCTCCCATGGTATGAGGACCACAAGGCGCCGGACGTCCCGATGCAGTATGGTACTTGATCCAGGATCTGCGGCACCAGGTCTTGAGCTTCTCACAGAGATGCTGGAACTTGGGGAGACTCTCACATGAACATCTCGAACGACACCTCTGAAATCAGGATTTGCGCCGATGACTCTTGCAAGCCTGAACTGCCCTCTCAGTGCATTTTGGTCGCAGAGCCAAACTATGTCTCCAATGGTAACGTTCCTTTCAGCAGTATGCCACTTACTGCGAATGAACAGGTTCGGGCCAGCAAGTTGGCTCCAGGACTTCCAGAAGTTGTTTACTATCGTTTGCACTTCTTTGAGCCTCTTGAATGGGTAGGTGGTGTAGTCGACAGTTTTGAAGTCTCCACTTTGTGTAGCTCGACCAAGCAATAAGTTGTTTGGCGTGATGTACTGGATGCGCTCTTCTCGGCTTTGGACTCTGGCGTCAATGGGTCTCTCATTGGCAAGATTAGCAGCTAGCTGGAGCACTGTCAGGAACTCACTGAAGGTAAGACCTTCTACATTGCCAAGGCTTTGGAGGGCTCTCTTGGTGACTCTGACAGCAGCTTCGGCGGCTCCGTTTCGGTGAGGTGAATCGGCCGGGAGGATTTTCCACATCCAGGTGTCTCATTTTTGGCAGCATACTCTTCAAGTGACTCTTTGCTCTGTTGATTCAGGTAAGTGTACATCTCTTTTAGGACAGGTCTCGCTCCGACAAAGTTCGTACCAGGATCAGACCAGATTTTACGGGGATGGCCTCGGACAGCGGTGAATCTCTGGTAGGTAAGCAGGAAGCTCTCTGTTGATAGTGTGTTTGCCAGCTCGACATGAATGGCTCGGCTGGACATACAGCAAAACACGACGCCCCATACTTTCATGGTCACTCTCTTTTTGACATCATCCTTAACATGGTAAGGTCCAAACAGGTCAACGGACGTAAACTCGAATGGTGCAGCAGGACTAGACCTCTCATCAGGTAAGTTTCCCATTATTTGCTTGCAGGTTCTTGCTTTCTTGCAGACGATACACTTGTCAACGACTTTTTGGGCAATGACCCTTCCTCTGATGACCCACGCCTTTATCCTCATCCGCAGCAGGGTTCCCGCCACACCTTCATGTCCCTTACTGTGTGCTTCTCTGGCTAGCAGGGTAGATAACCAGGCTTGGAAAGGTAGGAGGGGAACAGCTCTGCGGTCTTCTTTGAAGGTCTGGATTCTCCCACCACAAACTAGAAGTCCACTTGTTTGGTCTCTGTAGACGACTAATCTGTCTGTTGTGGTGCCTGGGAAGTTGACGCCCTCTTGTGCTGCTAGGCAAAGGTCTCGAAACACGTCCCGTCTCTCTCTGACTGTAAGGATACCCGAGGATGGTACTGCCTCCCACTTTTCTTGGTCTCTGGTTTGGCACTTAAGAACTTTTTAGCTGCTCTCCAGATCCAAGCCACAGTCCCAATCAGCCTTCTCAGGTTGCTGAAGCGCTTTCCATCGACTAGATGCCGGACTGCTGCTCCTGCTGGTGGTCTTTCATACTCTAGCTGGGCTGGATTTTGTGCCGTTTTCAGGCGACATCTGGAGAGTAGTGCTACGAATGTTTTTTTCTGGATCCTTGTGACTTTGTCCGAGCTTGGGCTGCGACGTCTCTGGCGGATTTCTTTGGCCACTCATCGTCAGGAAGTTGGAGGAACTTTGGACCCGACTGCCACTCGGAGTCCTCAGTTAGGGCATCTGGACTGGCCCCTCTAGTGATGATATCTGCGATGTTTGCTGGCCCTGGAATCCACCACCAGTCTTGGACGTCGGTACTGCTCTGGATCTCACCAACGCGATTTGCGAAGAAAGTCTGGTAGCCATAACTCTCACGCTGTATTGCACCCAGGACTGTTTGACTGTCGACAAGATGATACCATTTCTTGACCTGGAGTCGGCAGTGTCTCTGGAAGTAGGTCTTGAGGCGGGCTGCGAAGACTGCTCCGCATATCTCAGCTTTTACAGGATCCCCTTTGTGGTCAAGGGGGGTCAGCTTGGATTTGGATTCGACCAGTCTCACAACGACACCACGGCTGCAACTCCAGCGAAGATACATCACTGCGCCATATGCGTGTTGGCTGCCATCAGAGAATGTGATTGCACTGGGCTCTGCGCAGAGATCTGGTGGAGTCAGGGATCTGGTGAAACGAAGTTGGCTCAGGTCAGCATATTCTTCCAATAGCTTTATAGCGTCTTCTCTGAGACCTTCAGACAAAGCAGCATCCCACGAGTCTTCTAGCCAGTATTTTACCTTGGCTTCTTGAAAAGCTCTCCTGACCAGGATGGCACCCTTTTGTTTGACAGGAGTCACAAGGCCGAGTGGGTCATACAGGCTAGAAACCTGGCTTAGCAGCTCTCGTCTGGTGAGTGGATCAGGTGTTTGATTTCTGACCTCCTGTCTGAGCAGGTTTTGACCAAGGCGCATCTTTCTCCTTTTCTTTGAGAAGTTAACTGCAACCATGACATGGAGTTTGTCGTCATTGATGGTGTAACCAAGGCCAAGGGCTTTGTTGTCGTCTTTTGTCAGCTGGTTTGGTAGGATCATAGTCTTTGGTATCTCATCCTTGGGTTCTTTCCTCCCACCTTGAATGGAGTAAACCCAGGGCTTTATGTGGAATCCTCCAGCTTTCAGGATGTGTTTGATGTTGGCTGTGAGGCATTTCAGATGGTCAAGGTCGTTATGTGAAGTCAGGATGTCGTCGACGTATACATCTTCTCCCAGCACGCGTCTCTCTTCCTTGAAGTGACTGAATGAAGGTAAGTTCGCAGTTTCTCGCATGGCGACTTGGGCTATGCAACCGGCAGGTTTGTCTCCGATGTTGACTCTTGTTATGGCAAAATCTTCTATTTCGGCATCTTCACTGTCACGCCACAGGAATCTGTGCAGGTGGACCTCCGATCTTCCAGCCAGACAGAGTTGTACATCTTCCGGATGTCTCCAAGGGCAGCGTAGACACCAGTTCGGAACCTCAATAAGACAGCTCGGATTGGGTTCAGGACATCAGGACCTTTGATGAGGATGTCGTTCAGACTGAGACCTCTGCACTTTTGGCTGCTGTTCCACACTAGTCTGACTGGGGTGGAGACTGAGTGTGGGTTTAGTGCAATGAGATGACTTATGTACCACACTGGCCCGGTCCAACTCTGCAGAATGTCTTTGGACAGCTTCATTGCGGCCCTGCGGTTCACCATCTCATGGATCTGTGCAGCGTAGGCCGCCTTCCACTCAGGTTCTTTTGATAGCTGCTTCTCAGTTCTGAGGAATGTTGCCTCTACTGCTTTCCTGTTTGGCAGGGTTGCTGGATCTTCTGTCCACGGATACTTAGCATGCCAGTGTGGTTCGGTGCTGTGTACATCTCCAGTCGTGTATGTCAAACCATTTCTTATGATCTCCATCTCCCTTTCTTCTGCAAGAGTTATCTCCTTTCCCCCTGGCTGGCAGTTCCCGCAGCGACACCCTCCACATCTCGGCTGACAGGCGGCTCCGATGCTCTCCCACCTCCACCACTTCAGAAAGTCTTTGCTGCTGGTGGCTGTGTTAGACTGGGTCTCGGGGTGGTCGGGATACTGGCAGGAAATTGGGTCTGTCTTGAATTCGAGATATTTGACTGCTGAAGTTCTCATTGATCTGGCGAAGTGAGTCTTGGACGAATGGGCCATCAGGGTGACTTCCTCAAAGAGGTCTGGATGCATGCCCCCGACTGTCTTGCCTAGTGGACCCTCCCAGAGCACCAGGTCACCAATTGAACGGATTTTTTGGGGCACCAGCTGGCCTTCTTTGTGGCTGATCAGAAGCTGGATTTCTCTGGGTCTGATGAAGTCTTTGAGGGGAACATCAGGAAAGATTTTCTGCAGCTTGTCAGGTTGAACATGTCGGTGCACCTCTGCAATTTTGTCAAGTCCGTAGCAGATCAGTTGGTGAGACTTCAGAGTTCCTTTTGGAGTCCTGACTCTGATCTTGAGGAGGTAGCGCTTTGTAGCGACAGATACTTTCATCCCTCCGACGCCATGGACGACTAGTGCGACATCTTCACTGCGAAGGTTCAGCTTGCTTGCAGCTCTGTGGGTTATGTAATTTGTGTCAGACGCCAGGTCAATAAGTGTTCCGATTCTTTGCCCGTCATTGGCAGTGACGTTAAGGAGCATCAGGATCACAGGGTACTCGTGCAGACCAGTCTCCTCCAGAAGGCCTCTCTCTCCTCTCTCTGCTGCAGTGGAGTTGTATGCTCGAGATGCGATGTTGCAGAAAGCATTGCGACACTGCTGCGCTAGCTCAGGTGAAAGTTTGGAAAGAAACTCTTCCTGGGCCTCGGTGTAATTTTTCCCCTCAGCTCTCACCGGACCAAACTTGGGTCTTTGGGACAGCTGTCTGGGTAAGGGACAGAGAAGGTAGTGGTGTTGGTCTCTGCACTCTGGATTCCCACACAGGTAAGTAGTTTTCTGCAGGGTTCATTGTGGATTTCGAGGCACCTCTTGCAGGCTCCGAGCTGTTGCACTGCGTCCCTCTTTTCCTGGAGCTTTGTGGTGGTTCTAAACCTCCTGCAGATGTAGAGCTTTCTTTTGTGTTTTGGATCTCCGCAGATGATGCAGCCTCCTAATTCACTGCTGGATTTAGTTGTCCTTGTTCGGGCATGCTTTGTTTGAAACCTGGTCTTCTCCTTGGCAGGGTCGATGTCTCTCAGCTGTTCTAACTGCTCGTAGATAGACTCTTGGGATTGGAGGTATGCCAGTAGCTTGTCAAAGCGGTTCTGGTGGCTTACAGCATTTCTTGGGTCAGCAGCGTGGGTAAGCCAGTCTTTCTTCAGGGACTCTGGCAGCTTGCTCTCGATGGATTTTATTACTAGTGGGTTTTTTATGGCATCTGCATTGCTCAGTTCATTTAAATCATAGAGGGCCTTTTCCACTGCTTGGATGAGCTCTACGATTCTTCTTGGGTGGTTACCACGAACAGGTGGGATAGCTTGTAGCTCCTCGACAATCTCAATAGCGATGGTGGCTTGGTTTCCGTAGCGGTTCTCTAGGACTCTGAAGATCTCGTCTGCTGAGGTGTAAGTAGAGAGCCGTAGATCCTTGGCCACTCTTTCGTCGAGGCTATCAAGTAGTTGAAATTTCTTCACCTCTTTGGATCCGGTTGGTTCACCTTGCTTCTGTAGAGCCTCCCATTCTTTCCTCCATCTGTAATACTCACGCTGGCTGCCGGTAAACTTTGGTAAAGCTGTGGCTTTTAGCTTTATGGCTGCAACAGGGGCTGCGCTGTGGGCTGTGACAGGTACTCTGTTGCTGTCCTCTTTAATACTTGCTGCTCCAATCAGGGCGGCCTTCCTCGACACCAGCTTGGGAAGGAGGGTTTCGAGCTCCGTTAGCCGACGATTGAAATCTTGCTTCTCGGCTCGTGGAGCCCAGCGGTTCCAGGTCTGGTGCGCTTCTTTGGCTTTGTGCACCAGGCTCTCTAAATGGCGGAGCATAAAGTCATATGCCTCCAGGGGTGTGTCAGGCTGAGTGGAGGAGACGTTCTCGCACTCTGCCTCTGCAGCTTTTAGAGCAAGGGTCAGTTCTCTTTCACCACATGAGGCCCATAATGTCTCCTGGACAAGGTGCTTTACCTCTTTTAACTTCTGCTCACACTCTTTCTCCGTCTTCTCTATGTCAGCTCTCTGTTGGTCGCTTAACTCAGGTGCGCCCTCTGCTTCGGTTCCTTTGCCCTGTGCAATGTAAGCAGCCTCAAGCTCCTCATTTGCATCCATCACTTTAGCGCCCTCTGCTGTGAGTCTTTTGAAGTTATCTTGCAGCTCCTCCACAGACATCTCCATGTGGGTCCTCGTTATATGGTTGGTGAGTCGGGAAAAAAGTCTCTTTACTGTAGTTCGCTCTGTTTTCAGCTCTTCGAGTGACTTGGACTCGGCCATGTTGCCTTTTTTGGCTGTTGGACTGACAGGTGAACGGCAGGTAGTTGATTTCCTCCAGGCCCCCAGGTGGAGTCTTCTCCCTCTTTGTGGTGGGCTCTTGTGGAGTCTTCACTTGTCACGGCCGGTTTCCTACTGTCAGGTCGGTTTTTCACTGTCAAGTGTTTCTTTTAACTGCGAGGTGTCCACACTTGACAAGGACCAGACTTCGGATTTCACTCAGAATAATTTATTTGAATAATTGAACAGGAGTTGAACAGTATAGGTGAAAAACCTTTAAACACAGAAATAAAAAGCATTTTGAATAAACAGGTATTTCCACAGTAAACACAAGTCAAGGTAAATATTTCCAAAACGGTAAGTATATTTAAATTCAATATTATTCTTCACATTTCACCAAACTAATTATGCATTTTAATTAATCTTTAACAAAACAATTTTGGCTTACTATTTAAGCATTCTTTTACACAAATTAGGTAGAAAACCCACACATTTTAACCATATATATCCATGCATTTGAACATAGTTTCTCCCTCTCTTCAACCATGCAGCGACAACTTTAACACACCCATATTAACACCTAAACAGAAAAGATTTAAACAACATTCAAGTGAGCTTACCGATAGCCCGTCAAATCAAAAGTCTCATTCCCCGCAGTGGATGTGTGCTGCTCATTCCGTCATGTCAGTCCCTTTCCACCAGCCAAATGACTGCGTTATATGCTCCCGCTGATTGAAGTGTGTGCGAGCTTCTGATTGCTCAATCTAATTCACCTGGTCGAGGGTGCGCCAGGGCGCGCACGCACGGTCACACGCGGCTGCCGATGCAGAGCGGGGCGGCACGCAGGTGAGACGGCATGCAGGAGGAGGCGGGCACACGGGAGACAGGCGCACCTCTGCCAGATCAGCGCGACAGTTATAGTGACCGCTACAATATGTCACTGCTGTGTTGAAGAGTCTGACAGATGTTGGGATTAAGGACCTGTCTGTTGCTGAAGTAGCTGCTTAGGAGAATAATTTTAACAGTGACCTGGAGTCTCTTGCTCAGGGACACTTGAGCAGGGCACATGGCTTTTTTTTTAATGTCCACTGTGTGTAAGTAGGCCTTCAAATAGTTGAGATATAAACACACCATCAGTAGCTGCTTTTGCGTTTTCAGTTGTATCACTCCATCTTCATCAGGGGATGGATTTGGCAAATGTAAATGGCAGCGGTGGAAGAAGTACTCAGATCTTTGACTCTGACTGTAGTAATAATGCATCAAAATCTTATTTCACTAAAAGTAAAAGAGTATCATCAAAACTTTTTTTTTAAATGTATTGTTTTTAACATTATTATTATTCCTAGCCTATTCTGCCGCCAGCTGCTGGTTTGTTAATAGACTAATTGTTGTATTTAACTCTTTTCACTTTTACTTCTCTGTGTATTTTTCTAGATTAAGCTAAGATGTACCTTTATTGATCGCCTGATGGGAAAATTCAGCTTGACATGGCAGCACAAGGAATTGAAGTCAAAAATAAAATAAGAAATAAAATAGGAATAATATTTACAATGAATAGATCTAGGTGCATATGAATGTTTCTAAACAGACATACGTTGATACAGTATCTGTTTCAGAATCAGAATCACGTTTATTGCCAGGTACATTTTCACATACAAGGAATTTGTCTTGGTAAATTGGTGTTTAACAGTGCACATACATGTAGAAATATAAATATAGAAAAAGTAAAGAGACCTGTTTTCTTAGATGAGAAGCTGTACAATTTGTGTATGTACAACTATGCCAAAAATTGCTAAAATATACAAAGGTTATTTGACAAGGGAAAAATGTTCTGGCTGCACCAGGACACCAGATGGTCAATCTGCCACCTGTAGGCGGAGTCATCCCCACCAGAGATGAGACCAGCGAGGGTTGTGTCATCTGCAAACTTCAGGAGCTTGACAGGCTGGTGGCTGAGGCTGCAGCTGTTGGTGTACAGGGAGAACAGCAGAGGGGAAAGAACGTAGCCTTGAGGGGAACCGGTCCTGGAGTCAGAGACATGTTTTCCCAGCTTCACGTATTGCATCCTGTCGGACAGGAAGTCTGCGATCCACCTGCAGCCACGCTTAGCTGGGAGAACTTGTCCTGCAGCAGAGCTGGGATGGTGTTGAAAGCAGAGATGCAATCTACAAACAGTTTCCTGGGGAATGTAGTGAAGGCCCATGTTTACTGTGTCGTCTACAGACCTGCTGGCTCTGTATGCGAACTGCAGGGAGCAAAAGACTTCATAATCATAAAGGTCAGGGCAACGGGTCTGTAGTCATGTAGTCCTGTGGTCCTAGGTTTTTGGGGGACAGGGATGATGGTGGAGGCTTTGAAGCAGGCCGACACATGGCATGTCTCTAATGAGGTGTTAAAGATGTCCCTGAACACCAGAGACAGCTGATCAGCACCCTGCTTCAGGATGGATGGTGAGACAGAGTCTAGCCCAGCAGTCTGTTGACATCCCTCTCCAAGATGGTGAGATAGAGATAGAGACAGAGACAGAGACAGACAGATGAGGTGGAGCTGTTTTCCACTGAGGATGGGGAGGATGAGATGGCGGACTTGGGCCAATTGGTGGGGTGACGGGGGTGGTCTCAGGTCTGTCCCATTGTCTTTCGACAGGAAAACTGGTTCAACTCGTTGGCAAGGCGAGAGTGGTTCTTGGAGAGGGGGGGATTTTGGTTTGTAGTTTATGTGTCTAAATCTTTTCCAGACAGAAACAGATTTGTTTGTAGAGAAGTGATGTTGATTTTTCTCTGAGCACAGCTGCTTAGCATCTTGAACCACCTTGCTAAACCTGTACTTTGACTGCTTAAACCTGCCCCTGGTCACTCATAAATGCTTCTCTCTTTTTAACCTTAGCTGTCTGAGTTTAGCTGTGAACCAGGGTTTGTCATCATTATAACTCTGGTGCATGATGGTACGCAGCTGTCCTCAGTCACAGAAGCATCTGTAAACTCATCCAGTTTACAGATGTTTGTATTTCTGTAATCTTTTTATTTCAGTTTAACTGTATAAATGACTGTGTGGTGCTTCCTCTGTCACATCACTTTCATTGACGTTGTTGTCCAATATTATTTTAGACATACTTCTCGCAATGGGAAATTAAGTGTGTATTGAATAATATTGTTTTGTTTCACAATGGCTTCCAGTGAAAACCCAACTGCTGTTTTTAACCCTTTTTGTGTATATTTGGAAGTATGAGGTCTTCATCAGCTGATGAAATCAAAGATCTACAGTTCCATGACAACTGAGCCAACATCTTCTGATGAAGCCCGTGCAATGTTATTAAAATCTCCAGAAGTGGTACTCTGTGTGTGTGTGTGTGTGCGCAGTATATTTAGTAATTATTTTAATGCATCTCACACTTCATCTAGGTGGATTAACATGTTTAACTCATCTGAAACATTTTACTCAAACTTAGCATCGGATCAAATAAGCTGGTTATTTATCTTATATTTACTGCTATATTTAATATAAATATATTTTATAAAATATTTTATTTGGCATAAATTCAAGTTATTGACATTAACACTAAGTTTCCTTTAATAGATAAAGTAGTACTTTGTTAGATAATTAACCAATATACAAACATTCACTATAGACAAGTGCTCACAGTGACAAAATGTTTTAGAAAATTTTTATTCTTTTACATTAAAATGTGAAGGGTGAAATTTCAACTGTAAACATGAAATAAACTTGACTTTTACCTCTAAATTTCACAACAAAAATACAATTTTTAAAGCCTGTTCCCACAAAGTATTTCTGACTTCAAACAAGTTATCAATGGTAATAAATTAAAATTCTGTAATTCTACACTATGCAAAATAAAATTTAATTTATTTATTTAAAATAAAAGCCAAAAGGAAATTCACAAAATGTTCACCGTAAAAACGACATAATGGAGTGTCTGAGATAAATAAATAATTTGATATTCTAAAATGTCAAAAAACAACCCCCCCCCAAATCACAATCAAGGGTTCACAGATCAGTTAGTGAGGTTGGTCACTTTCTGTAAGGCAGCAGCGCTCACATTTAGAGAATGCTCACTGGGAAACAATTTCCTCAATAGGAATGACAGGAGCATCTGTTATGGAAGATAGAGCAACAAAATCAGAACAGGATTTTTTTGCTATATTAAATAAAATGAGAAACTTACATACAATAAACGAAGGACAGTGACAGAAAAGTAAATGCAGAGATACTTACATGTACGAGCATTTTGTTTTTTTCACGGTCCTGGAACAGATTAAAAACAGACTCCACGTCTGTCTTCTTTAGGACAAGATAGTTTGAACCTACAGAGAGAACATAAAAATTTATTTTATGTACGTTTACGTTTCCTACTAGTGCAGAAAGGCGACAACCTACATTTGGCATTCATCAGGTTGTGCGCTCTGGCCCTGGTCTCGTTCTTCTCCTCGTCTGTGCGAGGAGGACGAGGTGGAGGCGGTGCAGCTGGTTGAATCTCTGGCCACTGTTTTTCACGCACAGCATCGATGTATGTAGCCATCTGCACTTCTGATGGGTTCATCTTGTTTAGGAAAGAGTTCACTTTTCTGGAGAAGAATACAACACAACCAAAGGTCACCCACAGACAAAAATCCAAGTCACAGTATAAATAAGGGGTTGGGTGTCTGAACCAAACTTACTTTTTCAAGATGGGCATAAAGGGTTTCAAAATGGCATCAAATATGTTTATGAGGATGGAGTTCCCTGTTAGGACAGAAAGTATTGGGTTTATCTTCAAAAAACGGGGACTATGTCAGTGTTTTTACATGTTTTAGCTTTGGCATAAACTTTGCATTTACCCTTAAGGCTGCAGTAATTAATACATGCCACTAGAGAAACAACCAACTCCTAATTAGATCCTCAACTATGTTCACCAGCCACTTGATTTGAACATCCAGTGTTCAGTACAGTTTATAGGTGTAGATGAGAATGGCTGAGAAAATGTGAAAGCATAAAAGAATTTTAAAAATGGTAAAAAGCGCTGTAGCTGCAGAGTTATGTATTTTTCTTTACCAAAAATATGGGGCTGAAGATAGAGGATGTTATTGTGCAGGCAAATATGTTGACTAAAAAAGGTAAAAATGACTTGATCTGACTTTTTAATGCTCCGTTATTTTGGCACTAGTAAAGACCTCAACTGAAATGAACGAACACAACTGGCTGTCTAGATTTAGTTGAAAATTAATTAATTAATTAATTAATTAAATTAATCAATCAATCTCAAAATCTGCAGTATGGTATAAAAACACTGGTAGTGAAGGACACATTATTTCTAGTAAATGGACTACAACACACAAAACACTGGTATGATCTCAAAGCTCTTAATGCTGTAAACACTGAACAAACCAGAAATTTCTTTCAGCAGATCAAATATGGCTTTTGTTGCCTCCAGCTGGCCTGGCTTTTGTGGCTCTTGGCTCTTCTGACACTGGGAGTCCTCCCCTCTCGGCAAAGTGTCCTGGTCCTTCCCTTTAGTCTTGTTTGCTCCACCTGACATCTTGAAACATATTTTGTCCTTTTTATTTGACTTTGCACTGAAGTGACACCACGATGGACCTTCCGTGCTATCCCCTGAAACTCTCCATTTTGTCTGCAGTGCGCTGTGGAGTCTGACACAGGTGAGTCTTTATCACTGGTGGTTCTTGTTGAGAGCAAGGACTCTAGTGACCTGGATTGTATCAGTCCCTTGAACATTTTAAAGGGAGAGGTTAAGGCATTACTAGAGTCCTCTGTTTTGTTGGGGGAGCAGTTTTTATTTGCAGGCTCCAGCTCCTTTTGTGTTTCTGCTTCCTCTGGCGGCACTGAATCAGAATGATCTTCCAAGATAACAATAGTTGGGATTGTAGTACCAGTAACATTGTTGCCCTTCTCAGTAGAGGCACCAGGGTTTTCTAAAGGCAGAGTTGTGGATTCAGGATGTGAAGATGTCATTGTGATTTCTTTCGGGGCCTCTGTCTGAGGACTAGAGTTCTGCAAAGTAAAACAAAATAATCAGGTTGTGACAGCTGAATCTGAAGCGCCTGACTTTAAAAAGGTACAGAGTGGCAGACACCAGCAAATGAACAAATTCATACACGCATCGGTTAAAAGTCTAAAAGTCTCAGTCCCAGTTTCTTACAACTTCAGTCTTATTTCCATAGTTTGGGTCACTGTTTTATTGGTTATTATAAAGTTACCACAAAGTAATTGATTAGATCGGGGCTACGCTGCAACATTCCTCAAACAAAGTCCAACAGTCCAAGCAGCCAACAGTTTATGCAAAATTATTCACAAACTACTTTCTTTGGAGTAAAAAAAACAAAAAAACAAAGTTAGTGATGTCTGTAATAATCCCCTTCTGCACAGGAGAACTGCATGTGTGCACGCCATGGAAGGTAGGTCAAAGTTGAACCAGGTTCTGTAAACTGTGAAGGATGTTTACACTACAGAGCTGGAGTTATACTTTTATTATTTGCTATGTTCTCTCTTGCAAATAAGTTTGTCTAAATGCCCCTCAGACAACTTTATAACTTGGCAAGTACAATGTTACTGTTACCTATGGGAATGATGAATGCCAAAAGTACAAAAGTAAGCACCAGGTTGTAATAAGCCTGAATCATTCTTTAAGATGTCTATCTGAAGAAAAGCAAATCTGTTAAACTTTACCTCTTCTTCCTCTTGACCTGGAGTCAGGAAGTAAGCCAAGCCACTCAGAAGGCCCCAGACACCTCCATAATGTTCCTCCTCATTCAGTAGTTTGTCAAGTGGGCAGAGGAACTGAAAAACTGGCTGACTGCGGCCGATTAGATCATCAGAAACTAATTCCTGTAAAAGAAAATAACACTTTGAGTCATTATGATTTTCAAGTGTTCATCTGTCAACACAGTATTTTTGGCGTCTCTCACCTGCAGGAAGTTCTCCAATGATCCCTTCGCTTCTTCTTTGACCTCATCTGTGATCTCTGACTCCTCCGGCACCAGGATTGTGGGCAGCCGGATCGAGTCCTGATAGAGGACAAAATAAATGTCTTTTATGAACAGTTCCATGAACAATGTTTGGTCCAACCCCTCTGTCTAGCAAGTTTTAAAACTGTATACCATATGATTGCAGTAACATTTTGTGGTTCACAATGTTGAATTTCAGACTTGTGAAGCAAACGTTGTGGTATGTTTTCACAACAATGCTTCCTTCTGCCACAAGCTGAGTTTACAGAAAACACAAGTCTTTTCTCTGAAGTCAAAGGAAGAAATCCTCTTTTAGTCGGTACATATCATGATATCTGTCCATTTGTGGAAAACCATCCATTTAATTGTTCAATAGAAATTCCTAACATTGGACTGCATGATTTTGATTCATTAAAGAGAAATTTGCATTTTCAACTGTTCCAGTATTTCACAGTGAAAGTTTCTTGCAGAATCAGCTTGACAAAATAAATCATGCATGTCATCATTAACCACATTTCCACCCCCATGTACAGAACACGAGCAGGAAGTGTGCAAAAGGTATTTCCAAACATGTAGTCGCTCTTCTAGTTTGTGGCTAACTTTTGCCTCATTGTACTGTTATCTAGTCCCACATAGTTTCACTCTGGCTACCCTGTCTCCACCCTAACTCCTCAGAGTGCTGTCAGAGTACCTTTAACAAAGTACCTCCAACATTAAAAGGATAGGATTTTTACGATTTTAAGAATATACTCGCATCCATATGTACATATTGAAACTGTTTGTTTTTGTCACTGTAATTGTTCCTCCTATTCATTCATGTTCTGAGATGTTTGCTCCCTAATCTGATTCCAGTGTATGAGATAATAGAACAATTGAGCACCTTCAGTCTTTTTAGTGCAAATACTTTGGAATTGCACTACAATTTTATGTATTTCTGGCCAGTATGGAGAGGAAAAATAATTAAAGTGAACAAAAACGGTTTCAATGTACATGTGAGAAATGTGAAACCTAGTCTTTAAATTGATTTTATCTGAGGACACACCTTGCCTTCTCATCATTCATTCCCTCCAATTCACACTCACCCTGACAAGCATCTTTCTAAACTGGTAGACACTTGCCAAAACAGTGAGTGTAATTATTCCCTAAAAATGTTCTATCAAAATAATTACAAAGATGTTTATTTACTGGAATAATCTCCTCCGCGTACTATGATGGTTTGGTTTGCTGGCTTGCAACCAGGACATCAAGTCAATGATAAAAAAGTCAATCTGTAGTCGTCTGCACACCAATACAGCAGGGAATACAAAGCCAAACACAAGCAAGCCCCATAAAGCATGTTGTAGCAATTCCACTCAGAAAATGTTTAAGTACCAAGTACCAAGAAGTTTTAAGTTGAGTCAACAGCAAGTCCCTTCTTAATGAATGTCTTAGAGCTCATGGATAAAAACTTCTTCAGCTAGGTTTGATTTTACCCACAGCATGCAGACTTACCACTTAGTTAACATAACTAACATAGTCTAATTACTGGACAGTAAACATACAAACAATCCTGCAATAAATATAATTTGACGATGTAGTTTGTGGTGGTGCTGAACTGTTTTGCATTATACAGAGAGGTGTTTCTGTTCTGCTTACCCTCACTGGGTGGACAAAATAATAGAAACACCTGTCAGTATTACACAACACAATTGCGAGTTTATTGTACCTAATAGACAGACATATCAGAGGTGATTACATCAGTTAAAAGTAGAAATTATATATATAAAAAACACAAAAGATGGCTTTCCATCTGCCTTTTACCTGCCATCTGTTGCAAAAGTACACAACATCCATGTAGGTCTTCCTGATGTCCCAATGTAGGTTCTCAGGGCTGTCCTTCTCCTCCAGGTGAACAGTGAAGATTATCTCTTTATCCTCCCAGTCGGTCTACAACACAGTCAACTCCTAATCAAACTCCATCACAAACATTAACATACCATAGAAGGACACGTTTTTACAGTGCCTCCGCAGACAGATAACAAGCCTCCGGGACATTCCACACTGCCAATGATAATTATAACTCACATGAGGGATGCTGACAGCCCAGCGGCCGGCACGCCACATCTCGTATGACAGCTTGAATTCCATCATGTCCTCTTGGACGCTTGTCAGGTAGTTATCCAGATCACTGTCCTCCTGATGGTGTTTGGCCAAAAAGCAACAATGAATCTGTCATGTTTCACAAATTGTACTCCTCGGTTTAATATATTGCGTTATCTGCAGCAGGCTCACCCTGTCAGAGTCCTGCTGGCTGAGAATGGACTCCTCCCTGGTGTCCTGGTTTTCCTGGATCGCCATGGTCCTCATCCCTGTTGGCTCCTTCTTCATTATCTTATTTTTCTTGGTCTTCTTGGGCTTCATCTTGTCAACAAATTTTGACCATCCTTCTTTTAACTTGTTACCTGAAAATTACAAAAACTTATTTCATCAGTATTTTTTGTTTTTTTTATTGTGTACACCACAGTACTGGAGAAACACAATTCCCCTGCCTGATATACTGAGTACTGTATGTGGAGAGAATAACAATACATTCTACTTTGACCTTGATTTCTGACATAACAACACACTTTTAGCACATCATTATAGTTGGAAATTCAGTGAGAAAAACTACTCACCACACAATCCACACTTCTTCAGGCATGTAAGCCACGTAAGCATGATTAGTAATCAAACGTTCAATGTTATAATCTATGTGGCTGCCTGGCAATTAATAATTTTTCCAACAGACTAAAAAAGCATTTTTTTTCCTGAATTTTTGATGTGATCATAACAAAAAAATACACAGATTTATCTTATCATGGCATAATCAATTCTTATTCAGTCATCATTACTGTTGGATTATTTGCAATATAAAGAGATAGGAGTTGCTTGAAGACAGCACAGAAATGAATTGGCATTCAGCTTGCTGTTTGTGTAATTAGCTGTCTGGACAAACAAACAAAAGAATCAGGGGATTAATTATGTGCTAAAAGGCAGGCTGATAGAAAATTAAAAAGTCACGTAGCTGACCACACATTGCTATTTATCAAACTGTTGTACAATACGTTATGTAAGTGGTCTTCTATTCTCTAAACACTCCATCTGCCTTTCTCAGGTCTCTGTCACCCTCATCTGAAATGTTTTAACACTCAAAGCTGAAAATCAAGTTTCAAGAATCACATGTACTACTCCTTAAGTATGAAAGAGCTCAATTAAAGACTCTCAATTACAACAACTCACTCACAAAACACACCTTTACTTTTGGCCTCGATCCTAGTGCCGTTTGAAATCCCTGCTCTCTCCAAGCCCCTAGAATTAAAAAAAACACAGACCCCCAGGTCAGTACCAATTCCAAACACAGGAGGTGGCCCCTGCTGTTGCTACTTTGAGGCTTGCTATGACTAGGTCAAGTCAGCGGGGTGCAGAAGATGACAGCCACTCACACTTCACTGCCCTCGGCCTCGCCTTCGCCCTCGTGTGAAGCCAGCGAGGCTTGATCTGGGTCTGATCCACACAGCTCATCCACAGAGCCTTTGGGGGTCACGCTGTCAAGCTGGCTCACCACCAGCTGGTTCAGGTTGTCGGGGTCCGACAGCCATGTCACCAACAGGCCCAAACCTGAGGAAAACAGCCAATACACTAATCCAACAAACTCTGTCTTGACATAAATACACAAAAAAATCAGGAGGCACAATATTCACATTTGACAGTATTATTGGATTGTTGTTTTTTAAGTCATTTTAACACAGCTGGAGTTAGTGATAATAGCTTCCACAATTAAACATATTTAAAAAGGAAGAGTATTTTCTAAACATTTTCTAAAATAAGTTGCCCCGAGTTAGCTGCATCTGGTTGGCTTAGCTTATAATTAAGACTTGTTGTATCTCGTTTGCTTAATCCGTATAAGAAAGCGAATACGAATTTCCCAAAGCCGTTACTTTAAATTTCATTTCAACCCTATTTAAAACATTTATTTTGAGTTCATATGTCATGTGTGGTTGACAATAAGTGGTACAAATCTTTAAAAAGTGAAGCCAAGTAATCTTTTTCCTCATACAATAAAGACTGATGATATGCGAGCGCAAATGATCAATCACAAAATTGTGAGCAATCACAATTTTATGCAAAAATCAGGATTGTTATTTTTGGTGCAAAAGTACAGCCCTGTAATTTTTCCACTGTTCCAAATTATTGCAAACACTCAATTATGTATCCATGAATTAAACAATTATGTCAGAAATTATCTGTTTCTAGCTGCCAAGATGAAGAGAAATCTGGACATGCAGATAATGTTTTAACTACAGCACTTATTGTAACTGACCTACATGTATAATTGCAAAAATGTAAAGCACAGCAAGATTCCCATGAGACAATCCCAAGAGACAAAACATTTTATCTGTTACTAAAAATGACAAAAACCTAAAGGGAATTGGCAAATCACTGTGAAAAGCCCTTTCCTTTTTTGTAACCAGAAATGCATGTCCTCAACTCGACAATGCCACTGACAATAAGGGATTACACACAATTCACACACTTGTAAAATAAGTCATGGGAGGCTTAGTCCTTACACAAGACTGTATTCCTGTGGAGAGAGAATTTAATGCTTTCCTACCCTTTAAGGCAACGATCTCATTTAAGGCACAGCGGCTGACGTCTTGTCCCCAGAGAGATTCGGGAAGAAGGTTACATACCAGAGTTTCAGAAAACTCTCGGAGAACTGCAATCTCTTCTGCTCTGGAAGTGAACAAGAGAGCTCTGAAACAGAAAGCAAAATAGAGGTGACTCCAACCATTAGTGAGCACTATACTGGATCATAGATGTTTATCAGCACATATCTCGGATAATCGCTTTATCTAAATCATAAACCTGATGGGATGTGCTACTGTTGAAACACCATTCAGCATAAGAAGAGCCATTAGGATGAGTTAGGCAGGTATGATCTTGTAAAAGAAAGGTAAATTATTCATAAGTTATTTAAAATATGGAGGTATTTATAGAGTTCAGACACATTACTGAGTGCAAAGAGTAACTGAAGCACCATGAGTTCTGAGTCATTAAACTGAAAGTATGTGTAAAGTCTCACCTGTCAGACTGCTTCGCATTGTGCAAGTGCTGGGTCAAAATCCGAATGGAGCCTACGACAGCCTGGCAAACATCAAAGTCTTTTGCTCTCTCAATGATCCGGTCAATTACAAAGTCAAACTCCCTGCTGAGCACCTGGTGCAGAGGCTGGTTCTCACATGGCTCAAGGACACCGTACCAAGGCAGCACCAGCTGAGCGTAGGCACGCTCAAACACTGAGGGGAGCAGTCACAAAGGAAAATCACGGTAGCACCAAGCTCCCACACTCACCTCCTGACCATCAAACTCAAACACTGCAGTGACTTGAACGCTTGTTTGGTGAAATTCAAGCTCTATTTTTTGCTTATTATTCAAATTGTTCAGGCAGGCAGGACTTTCCTCTGAACACGAGGAGTTGATGGTGGTATGAAGACTGGTCTATTCATCAGGGAACACACATGTTTTATTTACAGCAACATAACTTTATATCATGCAGAGAAAACCAGCTAAAAGTGCAGATGTAGACCATAATGTTTTTTTTAAACTATGAATTTTTCATATTTTAAACTCAATGAGAAGGCACAAAGACAAGTTGGAATAAAATCACTTTACATATAAATACTGTTTACATTTTCTTTGCGGTATTTTTGTGTATAAATAGTTACACACATTTTTAACCAAAACTATTCTATAATATTTTGAGTGATTTTGATTAAAGATTTGTAACTTTTAATAGATGCCTGTGTCATTTCTCAAGTATTTTTGGGTTCCTGTCAGGTTTATTCTTTGTTAAATAGACAAAATGAGAAGTCAGACTTACAGCTGCAGAAAAAAAAAGGATATTTATGTGGTATGCACAATTTGAAAGGTGCTTAGTGAAAGACAAAAATGCAGAAAAAAACCCAGCTCATGCATTTGAATATGACTGAATAGAATGAAATAAGTGCTTTCAAGGACTAATCATGAAATACTTGTTTACAGCAACTCTCAAAGAAACTGAGCTCATTCAGAGTAGGGATGCAATTTTTTCAGTCCTGATACTGTTACCTGGGCTTTGGATAATTGGCTGACACCGATACCAATCAGATAACAGTGTAAAATGACTAAGCTGTATTCCTCACTGAGGAAGTCATTGGGAATCATTATTTTATGTGTAAGGCAACATCTGGCTTGACTTAAACACTGCATCCTAACTTTGTGAAACAAAATGCTGTGAGCTCTTCTAGCAAAATGTTTCGGTTTCCCTTTGCATCTCCCCCTCTTGTCACAGATACCTGAGCCAGCTATTTGAGTCATTATTAGGCCGATATCAGAAATCAGTATCAGAGTGTCCCAAATTCAGAGCTGTGGTATCAATATTATAGCTAAACACCAACCAATATCATTAACGCTGTACAAAATAATAAAAACAATGTGTTTGCAAAGCAAACACAACTAAAATTAGAAGCATGAAAACCAGATATCTTATTTCCTCATCACAGCCATTTACAACCCATCTACAGAGAGAGGGTGTGTTTGTTAATGTTTTCGTTCTTTACATAAACATGCCTCACCTTGCTGAAGGGACCTCTTCACCTGTGGATACTGAGAATCCACTGGTTCAGCCTGCTCCCTGGTTTCTCTGTCATTCAAGTCACCAAACGACTCTTCCTCAACAGTTTCCTGGAAAACAAAAAACTATGAGTCAACTAAAAAGGGACTGAGAAGATTAATAAGAACACAATGAAAACTGGAAAAACAATTAGTGCTGAACTCACAGTAAACTACTGTGGCTATGTGATGAGTGAAAACATGTTTTTCAGACCTCAGTAGCTACAATAAAAAGCACCTCGGGTTTTGTGTGAACTAATTTCACAACTCAAGTGTTCAAGGGTAACCTGGCAAACAAGTTAGATTACTGACTAAGCCTACACATTGACTGGGATCTTACAGACAACATGCTACATTAACAATTCTAATATTTATAGACCTAGCTCACTTATTAACGCATATGAGGGAGAAAGGCTAACTACATTTTCAATATTTGAACACATTAAAACATGCCGCCGTGCTCCTAAATCCAAATCTTCCCCGCAAAAAGACATGTTCAATCCATAAATGCAAAATGTAAGTTACTTAATACCTGGAGTGGATTTTCCTTCGTTTCTTCTTCAGTTTGAGTGCTGATCTCTCGCATGCTGTTTCCAAATAACAGCGAGGTAGAAAAACAAAAGAGAAAACATAACAAGTACTGTGTCACTGTGCGCCAGCAGTCTGAAAAATACCACACCAAGCCAAAAGTAATGGCGATGGAGAAGCGCCACAGATACATCTTCTTTTCTTACAAGAGGCTCTTTTTGCTCGTATCTCATACTTTGAGACAGTGTGTGTTGCACATAGCCAGAGCAGGTCTGTTCACGGACATCTTTGGCACAGGAGAAGAAGACTCGGCTTCCTCAAACAACAGTCAAACGTTATTAACAGTCAAACTTTATTAAGTTGGGTAAAGCAGAGCTGTGATTGGCTGCAGGTAGTCCGCGCGTGCCTGTTGTTGATTATAGCAGGGTGCCATCTACAGGTTACACCTTTACCTTACAGCAAGGAGCTCTGATCTATCTATCTTGATTACCAGTGGTGGGAGTGTTCAGATCCTATCTTTGAATAAAAATACCAATCCAAGAATTTAAAAATACTCCTTAACTTAAATTACAGAAGTATCAACTTCAAAATTTTTATAAAGCAAAAAAGTAAAAGTAGCCTAAAGTAAAACCGCAGTGAAATATCCCGTCTCTGATCTTTCCTTTTTTTTTTTTTTATAGAATAATGGATAATTTGACATCTTTGGGTATCACACAGCTATTTAAATGAAACCATCTAAGAAGTTTAGAGGGGAAATATCTCTTTGGTGGATGTGTTAACAGCTCATTGACATCTGAACTCATAGACACTGTTTTTTATAAAAAGGTCTCAAGCCCAGGCATGGGAACCACTGGTTTAATTTTTAAGCTTAATATTAGTTAATAATTGTTTCAATAATTAATCTGAAAATTAACCAATAGCTATAACTGTTAAATAAATGTTGTGGAGTAAAAAAGCACAATTTTTCCCTCTGAAGTTTAGTAGAGTAGAAGTATAAAGCAGCATCAAATAGAAATATAAAAAGTACAAGTACCTCAACATTGTGCTATAGTAGGCCACAGTACTTCCTTACTTTCCACCACTGTCGATTACAGAGATTGACTGTTAATGGATACATAAGTTTTCCTTTTTTTAGCATGACTTACAAATTTAGCTTATGATCATGATATCATATTATCAGCCAATAAAAATATATTTTTTAAACAACCAAGAACAGGTAAAATAAGGAAGAGCTTGGCCATTGATAAGGGAAGTATTTATCATAAAGTTGTCCAGATTGAGATAATAAAAACAAAGATAATGTTTGGAAAAGATTTAAAAGTCTGTGGTTCTTTACTTTATCTACGCCAGATTACTGTTTTATTGTCAGATTGAATCATATTCTGCCATCACACTTAAATAAATACCATAGATTGTATTACATTAAATCAGTTTTCATGCAGATTGTTTGTTTCGACCTTCTGAATTATACAAGCTCTGATGATGATGTAATACTGATGAAAAATATAAAGTAGATTTGCCAGAGCGAAACTGGGCATCCAGTTAAGCGTTGCTGAAGACAGGCTATTTTATTTTTAAATATGGAACTCTAAATCTTTCCAACATTCAGACTAAAGACAGGCCTTTAATGAGCACAATCTCCTTCAGCTTCTATTAAATGTGAACATTATAACAAAAAACATTTACCAGAATGGGTTGGTATAGCCCACTAATAAAGCTATGTTACAAACAGCAGATACTCTTTGTATTGTCACTCTGAGTAACTTGTGACAAACGTAGATGTTACTGATTTTCTGTCAGGACCGGGGGCCAGAAACTCAAACGCAGACTAGAGAAATGCACAGAAGTGGTTTATTGAGCACAAGGGGTGTCCTGGGAGAGGTTGGGGTGAGGTGGTCGTTCTGAGGGTCTGCGATTCTGGTCCCAGAGCTTAGATGATTCCGGGGCACAGGAGGGAATCCGCATGGTGCATGTGCAGGTTTCCTGAGGTCGAGACAAAGAGAGAGCAGTTAAACACTGGTACGAAGGTTCAGACAAAATACTGAAACTAAGACAGACAAACTGGCTGGCGTGTCCATACGGTTAGGTACAACGATCCGGCGGGGACTGGAAGGTTGGCAGATCTCTTAAAGGCATGTTGATTGCAGGCAGAGGCCCTGGTGTGCTGATTGCGGATGTGTTTCAGGTGGGAAAGCCTGGAGCTCAGATTGCCACGCCCACCAGCAGCCTCAGTTTGTGACATTATCAAAACCCCCACTTCCTTTCAAGTGCATAATTTATCTCACTGTGGGTTTTGTCCTCATGAGGTTAAAACACTGAGGTCATGACCCGGTGCAGCGGTGATGTAACTCAGTCTAACAGCTGAAATTACGCAACAGACTGCCTGACAGGAGGACAGCTTCAGTGATCCGTGGCCCTTCATGTGGCTACTGACTATGAAGTCCCTTTTAAGAGGAGGTCACACCAGTGGTGGAATGTAACTAACAGTACATTTACTCAACAATATTTGAGGTACTTTATTTGATGCGACTTTATAGCCTACTTCAATTCTGAGGGAAATACTGCATTTATTTTTACTTCCCTACATTATTTTGACAGTACTTAACAAATTGAGATTTTTCACATAAAACATATGTGCTTATAAAATATGTTGCATTGTTATAGATTAAACTACCAAAAATATATAAAATCCATCCATCCATCCATCGTCATCCGCTTATCCTGCGTACAGGTTCGCGGGGGGGCTGGAGCCAATCCCAGAGAGGGGGTTGTAGCCAATTCTGTGGCCTGGTCGCTGCCACACCGACCACTGGTTTCTGCCACACCGACCACTGGTCGCTACCACTAGGGGAGCTAAAGATACTAGTTTCTGCCACACCGACCATCGGTTGCTACCACTAGGGGAGCTAAAGATACTAGTCGCTGCCACACCCACCACTGGTTTCTGCCACACAGACCACTGGTCACTACCACTAGGGGCGCTAAAGATACTGTTCTCTGCCACACAGACCACTGGTCACTACCACTAGCGGCGATAAAGATACTGTTCTCTGCCACACAGACCACTGGTCGCTACCACTAGCGGCGCTAAAGATACTGGTCGCTGCCACACAGACCACTGGTCGCTGCCTTGCTGTCCCACGAACCACTAGTTGCTGCCTTGCTGCCAGGCTGCCACACCGACCACTGGTCGTTACCACAGTCTTTAAGGGAAGGCTCCTTTCTGTTCCATGTCACACAAACTGTGGCTGTATTAAAAAAGGTCAGTTTCAAGTTTTTATACAGTCTATGGTTCCAAAGTATACCTAAAGTGACCTGATTTAGGTTAGTCATCAGGTTGAGGCCGCGACCAGCGAACATGAAACTAGAATTAGACTCTGTATTGACTGCTGCTTATTTGTTTAGCATTATTGGCTTTTTGATGCATCCTCCAATTAGTACAGCGCTACATATGATAATATGCTTGCTATTGTGTGCCTGCGGCCATCAGTGCGTAAAATAATAACACTTAAATGTTATACCTATATCATAAAGGGTGAAATTGCGTCTCTCCTTGAGCAATAGTCTTTGGTGGCATTTTTCACGCTATTGAAACTCAAACTTTGTTGCAATATCGCAGACATCAGGGGCAAGTAGTGGACTGCTGTGTGTGTGTTTGTGGGCATGAGATGAGGCTCCACACTGCTGCCACACTGGTCGGTGTGGTCGCTGCCACTTGGGGCGCTAAAGACAGTGGTCGCTGCCACACTGACCACTGGTTGCAGTTGGTTATATCTACTGTAATACATCTTTATCATAATTCTTTGTTAAAATATTATGGATTATGCCTATTCTTATTGTTGCACTATATATTGCAGTTTGTGTGGTTATACCTACAGTAACAGCCTACATCTATCTATCTTTAGTCCTTGCCTATAACAAGGCCTGTGTTATTATAGTGTGTGTGTGTGTACATCTTTCTATATCACAATACTTTGTAAAATATATTCTATTATATCTTATTGATGCACTGTAGGCATACAGTATATTGCAGTTTATGTGGTTGTAGCCAATCTACAGTAGGCTAATACATCTATCTAGATCACAATACTTTGATAAATATAGCCTACAATATTATCGATTATGCCTATATTCTTATTGGTGCACTCTATATTGCAGTTTGTGTGGTTAACCTGCAGTAATAAATCTCTATCTTTGGTTCTTGCCTACAAGAAGAAGGCCAGTGTTGTCACCTGTGAAGGAAAGTGTGGTGAACACTTGTTGGTTGAATCCAAGCTAGACTGATTTTAACAATAAGAATATAGTTAATCAAAAATTAGTAGGCTATATTTAACAAAGTATTATGATCTAGATATATTTGTTACTGTAGATAGGCTATAACCACACAAACCGCAATATATAGTACAACAATAAGAGCAGGCATAATCGATAACATAGTATATTTAACAAAGAATTATGATAAAGATGTATTACATAGTAGATACAACCAACTGCAACCAGTGGTCAGTGTGGCAGCGACCACTATCTTCAGCGCCCCTAGTGGCAGCGACCAGCGACCACCGTCTTTAGCGCCCCTAGTGGCAGCGACCACAACAACCAGTGTGGCAGCAGTGGCCGGTGTGGCAGCAACCCAAGACTGTGGAGCCTCGTCTCATGCCCTCTCTCGCCAAATTAAAAGATTAAGTCTGGTTCGCGATGTCTTCTTCATACTTTGGTGTTTTTGAATTGAACAATGGCAACCATGCGAATAAAATACTATCTATTCATTTCCAGGCCATTTTATCAACTTAGTTCGCCATTTAACTTTGGAAAGTATTGTTTAAGGTTTCAAAACTTAAACCTCCAGACCTCAATTTTTTATGTTGCATAGGGTATCTTTCCCTAAATAATGACATTTGTTCCTCCAAATGAAATTAAATAAGATCTTATCTAATTCTTTGTATATTTCAGTAGGCATTTCCAGTGATAAGGATACATAGATCTAGGATATTTCCTCAGCATTAGATAGTAGAACTCTACCATTCAGTGAAAGATGCCTCATCCACCACATGTTGAACCTTTTTCATTATTTGTTTAATCATAGGGCTGAAGTTTAGGTTATTGCAGAGTTTTTCATTCTTATCACACCCAGGTATGTAACTGGGTTCTTCACAGGGATACCATTAACTTCTGATAGTTCACATTCCTTAAGTGGTAGCCTAATAAACAGTTTTGTTCAAGAAAATTCCTCAACACATCTAATTGCGTTGATCCATTCCTCTATTGTATCATCTGCCAGTTGAGATAATTTAAATGATCTAAGGT